CACGCCAGCTGGTATAACAGTCCCAACACTTGAAAAGTTCACTCCACAGACCCCCGACGTTGTCCTGGAAGATAGAAGGCTCAGATAAGTCTCATGACCGATCGCCATTGCAAGCATTATCTTGCTACACAGCCTCTGGAGCTGTGTAGTGAAGTTTTCAAGTATCAGGACCATTATACTGGCTGACATGAGCAGTGGGCGACGGTCATCCTTGCAGCTGAGTGTAGCGGGGACTGGCAAGGGTGGTGAGAAGGGTGTTATTAGTTCACCTTGCATTAGAAAAACTACCGCAATCATAACAGTTTACTTAAACAACACTATGGGGTTGATTTACTAACCTTATAAACACACCACGAACATGTATACACCTCTGTAGTGTGTTCCCTCCCAGCATGATCTATGGGTGGAATCTAAACACCTTTGTAGTGTGTACACACCCAGCAGGTGTGTTGTGCAAAGTCAAGCATGACTTGCAAGGTGATGTTGTGTAAATTAGCTCTATGTTGTGTTGCTTGAGTTGATGAATGCAGGAATGTAAATGCATGAGCTAACAATTTTTGTCTAAACTGTGAAGCAGCATTATATATGCATCATGTGCATGATTTTTCCATATATGGCATTAGTGGAAATATGCTTTTAGAGACTTTTTGGTTAATAAATACGTGCGTGCGTGCAGGTTAGTAAATCACCCCCAATATGTTGGCGCTATTTAATTAAAGGATTTATAATAATACTTAAGTTGTAATTAAATGTTTTTTTCTTTAACATTGATTTTTTTTTTAATAAACTCTTTTAAAGCCCAATTGAAGTCTCACTCATTTTATTATATGTTATTTAAGAATACTTTTTGCTTGGGAATGCCTTAAAATTTCCTTTTTTTCTCTGAAATTATGTACTTTGATATCCCACTGCAGTGCTCTATGCTGGCAGAGCTTAGTAACAGACACACCCCTCATCACAAGTGTCCTCACACAGACTTTGTCTGCACTGCTGCTGTTTCAGGAAAGTTGTAGGTAACACTGTGAAATGGAGGTTGTTAGTATAAAGTCTGTCTGGCTGAAAATCTATTTCTGTGACTTCACTTGGGCTTTAAAGACTGTAATTGTTAGGGTTTAGTGTGTGTGTGTGTGTGTGTGTGTGTGTGTGTGTGTATATAATGTTCAGAATTTCAATAACCCTGTATGTTTTGTCAACTGAGCAACTCATCCAAGTGTTTTTTCTACATGAAAAGGGTGTTTCAATGTCAATAAACAACATAGTCATTAAATGCCTTCTAAGCAGTTACATTGCACAGAAATGTTAATAGAAAAACACTGGATAGAGTACCCTGTGCACACATAATATAAAACTAGACACTTCAGAAAAAGCATGTAATGAGGTATATGAAGTGGGAAAGATGACTTCATTCTAAAAATGCTGGTTACTTTTCTAAGTAACTGATTTTAAACATTTTTGCATTCACAAAAGTCAAAATTCCTCATCTGCATACTTGTTCTTTGTCAGTGAAAGAGAAAGAATTGAACCCACAGAATAATCATGCCAGTGAGGCATCTAGCATTTTCAGAAGAAAGCAACAATAACAGCCTACGTATTTCTCAAAGGAAAGGTTTCCTATGATATGTTGCTTCAAAACCCCATGAAACATAGTGTTCCGGTTACTTACCCCTCTAGCGTTCGTTCCTCCACAGTCTCCCTTGTCCCCAGACATCTCTGGGTTTTAACTGTGTCACATGACTACTGTTTCTATATAACCATTTCAGGATCATAAGATGTACCTGTACTTCCTGGTCTTAAAGTGGTTATTCTAAGAAAAATGGCTATCTTGGTCATGTTTTTTATTTATAGCAGGCGGAGAGCCTAATAGCAATAAAGTTCAGTAAAAAAAAAAGTGTTAAAACATAATAAATAATAATTATACACCTTTTTTTAACGCTAACCCACCCCCTGGTTTATATGCAAATGCAAACATGCGCTTAGGGCATGCAAACAGCCCCGATGCTGGCGACGTACACTGTACGTCGTCAGTCACGAAGGGGTTAAACATACATACTTCGTGGCTATTCTAACTTGCTGTCGGGACCACAGGGCATTCTTGGACGACCACTGTGTGAAGTGCAGGTTTTGACTTTTTATTGTGTGTCCTGGTGTGTGCTTACTGCACCTTGTGCCCCTGAGGGGTTAATGTAGAAGAGCCGGGTGTGATATATATTAAAGGAGAATTATGGGGAGAGTGAAGGTCACTGATTCCCAAAATTAGTGCTGACGTGCGACACTGAAGCTGTAGCCCGCTATATGCTGGGTTTTGGGTCACAGGAGGACATAATAAATGTCCTCCTGTGACCCTAAAGAGAACGATGGCAAAAAATGATAGCAATAGTTCTCTTTTTAAGTTGCACGCTGGCAGAGGGGAGAAGCACAGCATCATTGCTAGGGATGTCCCGATACTAGTATCTGGGCCGATACAGGGCATTTTCACGAGTACTTGTACTTGTGAAAATACCCTGATACTTAAGGCCGATACTGGCCCTTTAAATTTATAACAAAGAGCAGCTGCCTGAGGTCCCCCGCTTGCTGGGGACCTCAAGGTAGCTGTCTTTGACAGCGCCGGTCCGACCCCACATCTTCTCCTCCTTCTTGGTGCCGGCACAGCACTGGTCAGCCCTGCACCTCTGTCTCTACACTGGACTGTTCAGAACTTTCCCTGTCTGTGCCAGCCTTGCCCTGAACCTGTGCCCCAGCGCCTGTCTTTGGGACCTGAATGGACGGGTATGGGGAGAAGGGCAGCACTCTCCTACCCCGGGGGTGGCTGCATGCGGAACACTTGGGGCCACTGTGCATGTGGTCACAAACAATGAATTGGTCTCAAAATGAAAATGACGCCAGGATTGTTCCACGCTTTGTGATTGACTGATAATTAAAAAATGTCCCGATACCGATTAAGTTTCAGTTCATAATTATAAAGAAACTGCCCTAAAATCATTAGTTTGTATTGTTTTGAAAATGAACAAAGTGAATTGTGGTGTACAGATCCTGAGTGTTAGGGTGCCAACCTCTAGTGGAATAGTAGTAACAATTGGAGAGAAAGCAGTTTTTTTAGGCATTAATTGACAAGTCCAAAACAAGAAGATAATAAGTATATATAGTAAAATATATTATTTATTTGTACGAAAATTAAAAATTAGTATGCAAATATATTAAAAAGGGACAAAATACATATCGATAAAGAGGACCTCCTAACACCCATCAAGTTCCACAGCAGAATTTATAATAAACATGATCACAAAATCTCATAACATGACACGACACCCGCACGGACGTGCACTTCGGGTGAGCGTACGGCCGGGTACTTCCATAGAGAAGAACAGGCGTACAAATCACACGCAGCACCTGTCCTTCCCGGGAGCGGCCCAATACGGTCGTGCACACAGCACGGATCTGTACGGGCCGGCTGTTAGTCGTGTGAATGAGGCCTAAATCTCAGAGTATATTCTCATTTCATATATTCTGGCTTCTTTTACACATAATTCAAATTCACATAAATAAATGTTAGTCTTCTAAAAATACAACAAAGTTGCGTTACAATTGTGAGTGTTTCACAGATGAAGCAATTAAATAGGTAAGGGAGTAAAATCAATCATATGCATCTAATTACCAAAGCTCTACGTGTGAATTGTTACAAGCTATTTTTAGAAGGAGAGAAGTCATGTATTAAATTGTACGTGCATATCATATGCCCAAAGGCTGGATCTGGATTTTATTCTGGTAAAAGCAGATTGATAGCACTTTATACATAAAACACTCAGCTGACAGTTTTTGCTATCTATAATTTTTCTAATCTTTCTGCTCGACAACCTGCAATACATGTCTCAGCTAATTACAATGTCATCTATCACTGAATTACATCCTATTATGTCATCAGTTATATCTTAATAGAATTGTTTACTTTTTTTTTGGTGTCTGCACAGAATAAATGGAGACAACTACTTTATGCTGAGGGCATCCTGGTGCACTGCTCTCCAAACAGTTTAATTGTTACAGGCAACGTGTCATTTGTAATTATATTGTGGCATCTGGCAAAAAAGAAAAACAGATCCCGTAGTTATTTTCAAATGGATGAAAACAACAAAAGAGACGGTCATTTGACTGACTGATGCAGAAGACATTGGGCTCAATTCACATGCTATCATGAAAGATACTTGCCAAAATGTTATTTATTTTTGGAAATGAGCAAGTGAAAGCTGAAAAAAATAATGTGTCAAAAAAATAATGATTGTTACTGCAAGTAACATGCAGTGGCAAGAAAAAGTATGTGAACCCCTTGGAATTAACAGGTTTTCTGCAGTCATTTGCCATAGAATGTGATCTGATCCTCATAACATCAAGTTACAACAATAGACAAGCGCAATGGGGCAATTGATCAAAACTGGAACATACAGAATCTGGGGCAGTTGCCCATGGTAACCAATCAGCTGCTCTTTTCAGTTTCTTCAGTTAAGCTTTTAAATTATTATTATTATTATTATTATTACATAGTATTTATATAGCGCCAACAGTTTGCGCAGCGCTTTACAATATAAGAATAATATAATGTCTTTTTAAATTGAAAGATACCATAGAAGCTGATGGTTGCCATTTGCTCCATTTTTGATAAAATTCTCCCTCAATGTGCTTAAGCTGATAACGCAAACATTTCTAATTTCTCGTGTCTTTATTGAACTCGCCCATTAAACATTCACAGTGTTGGAGGAAAAAGCAAGACTAATTACTTCAATTGCTAATTGGAGTCAGTAGCTTGCACACCTGGAGTGAGTCCAATTAATGAAATGCGTATAGCAGGCTATATGCTGAGTTTTGAGTCACAGGAGGACAAATGTCCTCCTATGACCGTAAAGAGAACTATGGCAAAAACAAGGTTGGGCCATAGTTCTTTTTTAACTCTTGCAGTGCGGGGGTAGGGGGCACTGCAAGAGTTTTCTTTAACAACAAATCCTACACTGACATTTTGTTCTGTGTGATATTATACTGCAAAGCACTTCAAAATATGTTTTTATTGTGACTTTTTAATGTAAAATTTTAAAAATCTTAACATGACCCTGAATGGAAAAAGTCAAGATTTTTTTATGTTATAGGGAACATTTAGAATTGTTATTTGTGCAGGCAGTTCCCTGTAAAATCTATCTTTTGCCCTAAATTACTCCTAAAAAATAGCAGGGCTGTTCCTGGTCTGCAAGAGTACTGAGACATCATAGCTGTTGTCGCTATTAAGGTACACATTAAACGTTTTTGTGTCCGGTGTTCAACTTTAAGCTGCTATTATTTTAGCTTGGTATGTCCTGTTTATGAGTGACTTGTGTATTTACAATAGAGGGGATAGAGATTACTTTATGCATAAAATTGTATATATTCAAAATGTTTTTCCTGCCTTCTTTCTTTAGGTGATATTATTAACATTGGAGATATATCCTATACAATAAAAGCCCCGAGAAACCCAGAACTGGTACCTCAGAGCTACAGTAAGTTTTTTGATTTCATGTTTTGTCATAAAAGTGAACCTGTATCTTGCTTGTAGCAGGCAACATAACAGATTTTATTGAATACTAGGCAAACTAAGCATTCTATACTACCTTTCCAGTCCTCCCCCACTGCCCTGATCCACTGCCATAGCCCTCAGAAATTCTTGTGTAAGTTACCGTTTCCTTGCAAGGCTATGCACACAAGGCCCAGACTGAGCGTGGCCAATGGGTATTCAGGCACCTAACACAGAGTTTAAAGTGTTTCCCCCCTCTCCCATACATACATTTGCTGTGCCTTTTTACTAAACTCTGGTGGCAAGGGAGTGATAGAACTGTCAGCAGTGGATACTTACACTGCTACTTTGCCTACCACTATCTTATTTTAGTAAGAGATTATATTTTTTCTGTAACAAAAAGTGTATCAGTAATTGTTTATTCTATAGCAAATGAAAGAAACCCTGGCTAAATTACATTTAGTTGGCTTAAGCACTGTCTATGAAAAATTTATATATATTTTTAAATCACTTGTTTTTACCCTTTTTCACCCTTTGTTGTACCTTAGTGCAGCTGATCCTCTGCACAGCCACTTCCTGTCTACACACACATTGAAGCAATGGTTGCATGACATTGCATGCCATTTCTCAAGACAGCTTTCCTTACGGTGACAACATTGGAACTTTCCAGCATAATGTGTGCTGAAACGGCCACTTGTGGTCTCATCCAAACCTGGTGTGACAATGCTGTTTATATAAAAATAGTTTATGGAACAGATTATGAAAATATCACCAGGTCAAGGTTGTGGGGCACCTTGTGCCGCAAAAGTAATTTTATTGCCTTTATAAAGGGGATGAATCACAGGATAATATTTGCACTTTTGAAAGAGTACAAATTTGTACATATGTACATTTTGCGCTAATCCATAGCATTCCACATATGCAGAAAAACCTTGGCTGATTATGAGTGACTGAAGGTTGAGGTCATTCTGCGCATGTGCAACATGAATGACTCATTCAGGGCTGATATGAGAACATCAGTAGTGTGTAATTGGCAGCAAAGTTGACGCCGGCTATACATTGTTGACATTTATACTGTGGCCTGCGTTAGTGGCCAGCAGAGTCTATTTCGTTTTATGTATGTAAACTAGGGATGCACTGATACCAATACTAGTATCGGAGCTGATACCGAGTATTTAGGCGAGTACTAAATACTCGCCCAAATGCCTCCGATGCTTATCCCGATACCGGATCTTCCGGTATCAGGAAGCTGGATGGCAAGTCATTACATTCTGCCTGGCTTCCTGATTGGCCGGGAAGCCGGCTCCATGCACTTGGTGATGAGGGAGTTTACGAGCGTGAGGTGGGGAGGAAGTGTGGCGCGCAGCGTGGAGCCGTGAACAGGGCCAACCAATCGGAAGCCGATTAATCGATGATTGAAAAAGGTGACAACTTTTTCAATAATCGATTATAATCGATTATGTCGATTAGTTGTTGCAGCCCTAGTTTACTGATTCTCCTCCTGGCTTCCTGATCAGTCGGAAATCTGGCCAATCGGGAACCCAGGTGGTGAGTCATTACCCGCCACCCGGCTTCCTGATTGGCCAGAAAGCTGGCTTCATGCTTCCTCGTCACAAGGAATAAGGAAGCTGGGTGGCATGTAATGACCCGCCACCCAGCTTCCTGGACGCTGCATGATGGAATAAATGTCAGTTAAAGTACCGCAGCGCTGAATACTGAAAAATGGCCTGGATGGGAAGGGGGTTTAACACCGCGGATGTCAACTGGTTAAACGCCCCCCCCGGCTTCCTGATTGGCCAGAAAGCAGGCTCCATGCTTCCTCATCACCTGGTGACGAGGGAGCATGGAAATGGCTTCCCGGACTTATCAGGTGTAATGACTTACCGCCCGGCTTCCTTAACCACTTGAAGTCCGCGGTGTTAAACCCCCTTCCCGTTTGGGTGGGGGGGCGTCAAATCGCAACATACAACTGATCGGTGGCTATAGAGCCGCTAATCGGTTGTATGTGAAACAGCCGGTAACGGCTGTAAAGAACGGGTGAGTTTTTTTCTGCCTGTGCGCGCATGCTAGGGGGCGCGCGCGAGGAGGAAAAAAAATGCCGTCTGATGACGGCAACCCGCCAATGTTAGTCTGCCGTCCGTCCGTTTTTTCACGGGCGGACGGCAAGCGGTTAATGGGACTTCCGTTATCGGTATCCAGTAGCGCGAGTACCGGAAACAAAATACCGGTACTCGTATTTAATACCAAAAAAAACGGTATCGGTGCATCACTAATGTAAACATTACATTAACATTACATGCATACTTTTTATGCATGAGATCTTTTTATGCAGGCTCCAGGGTAATTTTCATACATTCATGTGAATGAGCACTATAAGGGAAACTCACTATAAGGCTCACTTTTTGTGTGGGGCAGGAGGGGGCATGGCAGGCCATTGAAGTGAATGCGGTCGGCCGCACGGGATCGCAAGGCACATTATGCCTGCGGTCCAGTCCGGTGCGATCAAAATAGTGCTTGCAGCAATGCACTGCATCTGGTGTGAACCTAGCCTTAAACTATTCACCTCTTTTTCTATTTTAAAGGGATTAACCCCTTCATTTTCAGTTTTTTGCAACCATGTTATAATCTACATTTTAGGCCCAAAAATTACTTCAAACCCCCAAACATTATATATTTTTAGAAAGCCCCTATAGAATAAAATGGTGGCAGTTGCAAATTTTTATGTTGCATGATATTAGCCCGTTTACCGGCCCGGAGAAGCAATCTGTCGACAGCTGAGTCACCAGAATCACTCTATTGTAAAGCCGACAGTTGGCTTTAGAAATGTAAACAGAGCCGCCGGCAGTTTAAGCGGGCCCGGTGCCAGTGACTAACTATGAACGTCACTGGTCACTAAGGCCCCGCGGCAATTCCCGCGATATCGCGGCAATTTACCGCGCGATATCGCTCTCCAATGCTTCTCAATGGGGCAAGGGGTCCTGCTGTCGCGGGTCGTGCGTCGCTGCAGCAGGACCCTTTTTGGAGCGGATTCAGCCGCGATTCAAGCTTGCTCAATGCAAATCGCGCAAAATGCAAAACGCGCGACTAACGCGCAATTTGCGAACCACTCAATGTGAACGGGGCCTAAGAGGTTGAAAAGGAGCCTTTAGCATTTGACCATAATAATTGACTGTAGAAATGTACTGGAATTGTACCGGAAAACCCCCCCAAAAAACTACCTTCCAACTGTGGCAAAAGGTTGACTTAAAATATTAATGGCCAATATTCATATATTAATAGAAAAGAAAAGATAAGCTCCCTCTGAAAATTGAGAACTGCCTGGGGGTTCATTGTATGAAGCCACAGGCATTGGGTTGGGGATTCTCTTGGGATTTAAAGTATATCTGTATCCAAAACTGTTTTCTTTGTATTTGGATAGAATGGGGAAGGATTAGAAGCCCTGTCAGGTTTACTATTGTCCAGGGCTCTGTTAGAGCTTTTTACTCACTTTCCCGAGACAACCTTTTTCACCAGACAGATAAACTCCAACTCAAGTGAATGAACAACAGCATCACAGAAAAAAATAAAGTAGAAGTATGGCCTCCCATTAGAAAAAAATATGTGCTGCAGCTCTTAATAATAAGGGCCACACCTAGTCCTGCCTACTGCTTCCTGAATTGGCAGTACTGCTGAAACCCTCCCTCTGTGAGCTGCAGTGTCTTGGAGGGAAAGTGTGTGAGAAACAAATGATGGGGAATTTGACTCAGTCAAGGGAGGTACAGGAAGTTCTTGTTTGCTTTGTGAGGCTTGTGCAGATCTTTACAAGAATACCCTCCTGATTGGATCTTGAGATGGAGGAAAAAACTGAAATGAGCGGACTTCATGTCAGTCTGTGGGGACTCAGATGTAAACAGCCATGTGTCCGCTTACATGAGATTACCCCCAATCCGGCGCGATTAGGTCTGTCGAACCGGAACACTGTTCTGTTTGTTTTTCCAGACCTGGCGGGAGTCGGGGGTTACCATATATAAACAGACAACGATAGACTAGCATTGGGCATCCGATCAGGTCTGCCTGAAAAACTGACAGGTGGACCCGATCACACTGCCAATGTGAAAGGGTCCTAATATTGTTCTCTGTTTCCTTGTTGCAGATTTTCCTTCACTTTCTGTGTGATAAAGGTTGTCACCAGAACTTTACCGTAAGCGGAGATCTCTCTAACAGAGCCCCAGATAACAGTAAAACCTCACAGGGGTTCTAAAACGTACCCACTATCTACCTACAAAAAATGGCTTTAACTACACTTTATTGTTATTGTTTTTTATTGTTTTTCATATATAGCTACAGTAGGTATGTGTGTCATTTCTTTACCCAACACATTTGCTATAAAATACTTAATTGTGTTTGATTTTTCTTCTTGGAATATGTTAAGGCAGCTGTACAGCGTAGACTTTTTCGGTACTTAGTGTGCCTGCAGCAGTTCTGCTTTTCCCTCATGAGACCTACAGCTTAAAGCAGCTCTAACCTTATATGTTTTCTCTTGGTATTTAGCCAATGCAAATATTAAGGAAAAGCTTTATAAAATGTTATTTTTGAGCATTTTAATAGTTTCTGGGCGTGACACAATTGTAAATGATATATAGTGAAATTTTGGATGTAGGACAAAAAACATTATCTAATGTGATGCCGATTTCTTAAATAAAACAGAAACTGAGAATGACAACACTGCTTTTTTCTCATGGATCAAAAAAAGGGTTCATGAATAACAAAAACCTTTTTCAGAAGGTACTAAGGAACAACAGACTGCTCCACTGCATGGGAGCCATAACTTTCATTCAGGTGGGGTACATGCATCTCAAAGGGGTTTCCAGAATAATCGCAAACATTTTGGCACAATCTATGTAATTGTTTTGAACTTGCAAGTTCTCATTTGTGGTAATTTCAGAATTGTAAGCCTAATTTATAAGACCTAATCATCTTCTGAATCATTTGCCTCATTCTATTTCA